ACTAGGCATCCATGAATTTTCCTTTTGTCATTGCACATCAGACCGCATTTAATACAGTTTTGTATACACAGCATGTGTCTGACTTCTTTCGCTGCTCAATTATTTTTGTGATCCTTCTCAGCTCTCGAGTTTGTCTGATCACTCTTTTTGTTGCTGAGAAGTGTTCTGTTGCAGATTCAGGAGCTTATTTATGATTCATTCATCTGTTTATGGACTTTCAGGTTATTTCTGGGTTTTGCCTATTAGGAGAAAGCTGCTATAAATGTTTGTGTTCATGTCATTTATGGACTTATGCTTTCATTTCTCTTTCATAGCTAGAGTGGAGTGGCTGGGTCATGGAGTAGGTGTTCAGCTTTTTACAAAACAGCCCAACTGTTTTCCAAAGTACACACAGCATTTTGCAGTCCTGCCAGCAGTGTAGGAGAGCTCAGGTTCTGCACATCCTGATTGACATTCGGTATGTTCAGGCTTCTTCACTGTAGATTTTAATATGTCCTCGAATGATCATTATAGGTTCCCTTTAGAATCCCTTATATGTGCCAAATACTATTTAATATACTGAGTCTAAAAAATCCTACCCCATGAATCAGGCTTAGCTCTATTTTTCAAGTGAAGAGACTGATTCAGGGATCCATAGCTGGAACAAAGCAAACATTGGACATTACACTGGTCTCTTCCAAAGCTCACAGTCTGACCCTTGTGCAGTCAGAACAAACAGAACAAGACAAAACTTTTCTACTGGTGCCGTAAGTTACTTTCTTGTGGCTAAGATACAAGATATAGCCATAACAAAGGTGGGAAGGTTTCTTCTGACTTACAGTTTGTAGGAGTTTCAGTCTATCATCAGCTGGCTCCAGGGCAAGGCAGCATGGCAGAAGAGGGTTCTCACAGCAGGGCAGCGAGAAATGGAGAGGGATCAAGGGAGGAGGAGGGCCATGCCCTCTGTGACCACCTCCTCCAACCAGGCTTCACTTCTCAAATCACATTTAGCTATAAAGTCATCAGTGGACATATTCACTGCTTATATCATATACCTACAGTCTAGTCACCTCCCCAAGCCCCACCTATGAGCACATGAAGCATTGGGGAGACATCTAGATAAAAACTGTGCTCCCTGCCCCAGACATGGAATGTAGAACTCATGTCTTCAAAACAGCTCTCCCAGCCAAGGAGACAGAAATTCTACCTAATGTCCGTACTCTGTGGAGCAACGGCGTACAGCATCTCCAAGCCTGGGGGCCTGGGTGAAGGATGGAGTTTATCCTGACCAGCTCTTGCAGGCTGACCTCTGGGCTAAGGTTGTTGATGCCATTTAGAGAACGAGAGGCAGCTCCTGAGAAGACATTATGCTGGGCCACTCTTTACTTGGGAGCTGCTTCTGTATCTGATGCCACCTTCCACTCAGTGAGCGTTTGCTTTGGATCCAGCAGCCATCAGTTGAAAGCCTGCCACACACCAGGCTCTTTCATGAGGTATATTTACTACGCACCTCTTCCCTCCCTGGCCAGTCGGGCAGCCTATGACTGTGTAGTTCAGCTCTGATGGAAGATGCTGACTGCCTCAGGCAGGCTCCTCTGGCCAGTTCTAGTGGGGTGGGCTGCTTACTTCTCTCTGACTCCAGTTTGGTTATCTATGAGATGACAGCCTACGACCTACTTCACAGGGTGGAAGACTAACTACAGTCAGGGACACACTCACTGAATGTTAAGTATTATGCTTGTTTTTCCGACAAGGAAAAAGCCTTTGAGGTGTTAGATAATTTGGTCAAAGTCATATTGGTAATTAAGGACAGCAACAAATTCAAATGCTCGTATGAGGCATCCAAGCTCTGTGTCCTTTGGCCCCTGCAGCCATTCACCTTTCTGTCCCCACAAGGCCACAGAGAGTCTGGCATGCAGGACACAGAGCCAGAACCCAAAGGCCAGTCCAGTCTTGCAAAAGAAGTACCTGCTTATTAAAGACAGTTTGGAAAACAATGGGAAAGAAAATAGATTCCATACTCTCAAACCCATTTCTGATTACAGTAAGCTGTATTTTTTTTTTCTTTCTTTCTTTTTTTTTTTGGTGCTGGTGATCAAATTCATGACCGCAGACACACCAGGAAGGCACTTGTGCCACTGAGCTAAATCCCCAGCCCCAGTGAGCTGTATTTTTATGTTTGTGTCCTGTAAAGTTTGTAATCATACTGTACATGTAGAGCTAGATCCCTTGTCTTCACTTTGTTAAACATTTTTGCACATTATTTTTGTGAACATAATTTCTGATGCTAGCTAGTGTTTATAGAAGAACTGTTTCTCCATATGGCGCATAATTTAATATTTATTGTGTGAGGATCACTCTGAAATTAAATCATTGAGTCAAAAGATACATACTATTAAAGAGTTTTATCTTTTTAAATCAGATTTAGCCAGATGTGGTGGTGCAAAACAAATCCCAGCCCTCAGTAGGCTGAGACAGGATACTCGCCTTGAATTTGAGACCAGCCTAAACTACACTTAGATCCTGTCTCAAAAAAAAAAAAAAAAAAAAAAAAAAAAAAAGATTTGTTGAACAATGATTTGCATAGAGCAGAAGTCACCCTTTTAAACTGAAATCTGTTGGTCACTCTCATAATCACAATGCAGATTACTTTCCATGACTCTAGAAAGCTTTGTAGCTTTGGGACCTTTGTGTCCCTTTTTTCTTCTTTACTGTTGTGTGTTCCTGAATAACACATGAATGAAATTAGATGGTAAGTTGACTTTTGAGTCAAGCTTCTTTCACATAACATTATGATGGTGAGTTTCATGAGAGTATCAGTAGTTTGTTCCTTTTTATTGCTGAGTAGTATTCCATCATGCTGACATGTTACAGTGTATCTATTCATCACTTGATAGAATTTTGAGTTGTTTCTAGTTTTTGGTGATTGTGAATAAAGCTGCTGTAAATATTTGCATGAAGTTTTTATATAAGCATAAATTTTCATTTGTTTTGGATAAATACCAAAGAGAGATTTGCCAGAGTGCGTATTTAATTTTATAAGGATCTGAGAGACTGTTCTTTGTTTTGTTTTGTTTTGTTTTTGTGTGCCAGGGATTAAATTCACAACCTTGCACTTGCCAGGCAGGCACTTGTGCCTCTGAGCTAAATCTCTGGTCCTAAGAGAGAGCTATTCATTTTTTTTTTTTTAATTGCTACCGGGGATCGAACTCACAACTGCACACTTGCAAGGCGGGCGCTTATGCCACTGAACTAAATCCCCAGCCCCGAGAGACCTATTCATAATACACTTCGTGAAAAGTTGGTCCTCCGCCTTCCTGGGCGGTGTTAGCACAGCGCCGTCCCCAGTCCCTGCAGGCTGACACTGTTGTGGCCGCTGTGTCTCCCGAGCCTCTTACCCCCCTTCCTCGCTCCATGGCTGATGGGGCATCACGCTGTTTATTTTAGAGTTTTTAGCCCTTTATCAGAATATATACACGGAGAAGTATGTGTGGGGACGTCTCAACAGGTGTTCACAAGAGCAGAACTCCAGGTGAAGACAGTGTAACCAGGAAGCCGAGAGCTGCCTGTGACCTCCTCCAGCCCCAAGAGGAAGCGCTGTCTCCACTGGTGCTCCCTGGAGAGCTCTGTCCTGACTCAGCTGCGTGGGATATCTGGGTCCCTCAGATGTGTCCGCCTCCTCTTTGTGTGTCGTTCCCTTCTGGGTTTCCAGTAGTGCCCAGACTGTCCACCCTCCTTTCTGCCTTCCCCTCCGGTTTATTCTGGTTTCCTCCTCGACCCCCTGCACCATTCCGGCCAAGCTTAAGATCCGTCCAGGCTCTGGGCTCCCTGCTGCTCCCTGCTTGCTCTCTCTCCCCCTGGCTTCGGTAACACCCACTTTCCCTTCCTGCTGCCGTGGGACTGGAAGTGTCCCGAGGTCTGCAGCAGGTGTGTTTGTGCCATGCCTTCCCTGGGGCCTAGGGATGGTAGCAGATGAGCAGTTACATAGTGGGTGGATGTCATGCCTCTGAGGGTGACAGGCCCCGCTCTTAGGGAAAAGTTGGTCCTGGCCCTCAGGCCTCTAGCTTCTTCCTAAGCCCCCTTGGGTTGCTGTGACTTTTTGCGATGCATTTTTCTACCATGCGCCTGCCACAGCCGGTGAGATGGCAGCATTGCTCTCTGGACTGTTTGTATCTCTGTGACGAGGAAGAGGGGAGGGTGTCCTCCACTCTTGTTCTGTTCCCCTGTGAGGTCTGGGAACCCCACCACTCACTTGGTTCAGGGTGCACCCTGGTTCCGCTCTGGGAGCTGTAAATGTTTCCTTGGTTCCCTTTGCTGGTGCACCCCTGGGGTGCCCTTTCAGCCTTGGTCAAGAAGTGTTCATACTTGGCAGGTTTTGCGCTGAGTATCCTTATGAGCTGCTCCCAAATCTAATGGCTGGAGGTGTGTTTTGGGGTAACACTGGGGCCGTGGTGGCTGAACATGGAGAATGCAGAGCCTTCCCCTCCCCACACAGATCGTGCTTAGCTGCGCCTCAGTCTGAAAGCCAGGGAGAGGAGCTGATCTGAGTGGTTCGGTTAATGATTGGAGTGGCTTGCACCCCCAGGAGAGAGGGCCTTCAAGATCAGCTTGGCAGAGGCAGGCTAAGCTCGTCTGTTGGTTATTTGAGTGCTTCATGTCTAACAGGGGACCTGAGGGGTTCACTTACTAGCTGAGTGGTCCGCACCTTCTCGCACTGCTCTGGGAGAGAACAGTAGATGAGGCTGATGGGGAAACACCCAGACGGAGTACTGGGTCTCAGGCAGGGAGGTGGTTCCAGGTGGGCTGCGGCCAATAGGGCAAAGGCTTGGACATTTGCCTCTCGGTGCCAGGTGTCCCCAGTCAGACAGGTCTCCTGTGTGCCTTTGTGGACTGGCCCCCAGGGGCGCAGGGTGTGGAGCAGGGTGACGCAAGCCTCTGGCCCCAGAGGCGGGCAGTATCATGTCTGATGCCCAGGGCAGGCTTGGGCAGGAAGGTTGTACCCACTGCCCTCTGTCCTTCAGGAGAAGATCGGCTGGCGCAAGGATGCCCTGCACCTGCTGGTGCTCACCACGGACGACGTGCCCCACATCGCGCTGGATGGGAAGCTGGGGGGCCTCGTGCAGCCACACGATGGCCAGTGCCACCTGAGCGATGCCAACGAGTACACTGCATCTGACCGGATGGTGAGAGGCGGTTTGCGCTGCTCCTGTGACCACACCGGCGCCCAGGGCTCGCCTGTCTCCGTAATCTTCCCAGGCCTCGGGACTTACTTCCTTGTCCATCCTCGGGGTTGGGTTTCCTTCCCTATTTTGTCTTCTCCAAGTGGGTTTCCAAAATCCTTGTTAATTTAGCATGTCTCAGGAATGTCTAGCTGGCATGTCTGTCTGCCATTGTACCTGAATAGGGGGGCGTCTCAGTAGGGAACCAGGTCACCGGGGAGCCAGGAGAGACCACAGAGAGGTGTTTTCCTGCAGAGGTCACACTGTGGGTGGGAGTCCCAGGACTGGACCATCTCAGTTCTAGGATAGGGCTTCCTGTCATGGCAGGATGGACAACAGGTGGCCTGCATGGAAGGGGAGTCCCCGAGGACCCACTACTCCCAATAGTTTGTGACCATGATGACTCATTTTAAAAAGATTTATGCAGCTTTTCAAATGCATGGACTGGTAGACCAATACCGTGAACTCTTGCCCATCCCCAGCACCTCAGTGATCAAGGTCTCGCCACACTGCTGAGCAGACTTTTTCAGAGCTCTGGACCTCTCCCTCCTCTTTCCCGAATCTATCCTGGGGTCTTGCCAGAGAGAAGTTCTTCCCCATTTTCTTTGCTGGCCAAAGGCCTTTTCTTCTTTTAAGAGGTGACCATACCTAAGCTTCCAAACTGCAGATGCTAGGACTGGGAAAGGTCGTGGAACAATAGCGCCCACCTGAGTGTCACCCCTCTGTCTGTCAGCAGCTCCTAAAAGCCTTAAGGCCCGGGCATGCCACCTCTCTGACTCCCCTTCCTCTGTGCCTCTGCCCTGGGGACCCACCTTCAGTGCAGGACAGCAGCCTGCTCTGTTCAGAGCCATGAGTGGGGGTGGCGGGTGCGAGGCTAACTGCTCAGCACACAGGAGGAGTCATAGGGAGATAACAGGTGCTGAGGGTTATGGGGACAAGTAGCTGTCAGGCTCCCCGTGTTCCACCCCTGCTTAAAGGATGGACAGACGAGGTGTGGAGGTGCCCTGGTTGTCCCTTCCCACTGTTGTCTGGCTAGCACCCAAGGGCCCTCTCCGTGGTGATGACCCCTGCACATCCTTCCTCCGAAGAACTGTCTGTTGCCAAGAGGCTCTCGGGCCCCCAGAAGGAGGTGCTTCTCTAATCATGGCCAGTGCTGAGCATCGGAGCAGAGCGTGGGTGGGGGCGGGTGCCGCTGGTCCCTCCCTCTGTTAGAGTGACACAGCTTTGACTTCCTCCCGGGCCCTAGGACTACCCATCCCTTGCCTTGCTTGGAGAGAAGTTGGCAGAGAACAACATCAACCTGATCTTTGCTGTAACAAAGAACCACTATATGCTCTACAAGGTATGCTTGTGGGGAGCCATGCTCACCCTAAACCCAGTGGGGCCTTGGGGTGGGCTGAGGGCCAGGCGTGTTCACCCAGCCCTAGTGGGGACAGTCAGGAGTGCTTGGTGCATTCAGCTTGGTCTTGATCTGGTGGACAATGTAATACTATAGAAATGTTTAAGCATTCACATAGCCATGTATAGTTTCACAAGGAATTAAACATATGACATCTACTTTAATTCTGAGAAAAACCTTGAAAATAATGTGAATTTCCACTTTCAGAGAATGAAATGGAAGTCCACTAGAAGGATATTCTAATAGGGAAGAAAATATAAACTGAAAATGTGTAGACAGGAGCCAGGTGTGGTATAGGCCTGTAATCCTAGCACTTGGGAGGCTGAGGCAGGAGGATCACCATGAGTTCAGTGCCAGCCTGGGCTGCACAGTGAGTTCAAGGCCTGTCTGAACGACATAGCAAAAAGAGAAAAGAAAAGAAATCAGAAAGGAAACTGAATCAGCATCCATCACTAATCTCGTTCTCTTATGCTTTCCCCATAGTGGGTGGGAGATGAGGGCTGACTGGTCAGGTGTCCCCAGGAAGCTCTCGAGTGAACAGAGCTATCTGTGTGGGTCAGTCCCGTCTAACAAGACTTCTCTCACCTTGTCCCTTGGACCAGCACAATCAGCCCCCCTCCTTCCCGCAGTTACAGGCAAGTCTCACTCTGAGCTCAGGACCCCAAGTTGTGTAAGGAGGGAAAAGCCTGGCTCACGTTTGCCTCCCTGGGAGTGGAGAGGCTCTGCCAGGCCTCTCTGGCACCGTCTGAGATTATCACTGAGAGAAACTCTGCAGCTGCCTGCCTGACTGCTTGGTCTTCCTGTAGCCCAAGTTAGACAGGCTACCCCAGGTGAACACGGCTGTTTTTATTCTCTGGTCTGGTGGGAGATCACAAAGTCTCCATTTACAACTCGTATTTTTAGAGGGATTCACTGCATGACCTGGCCTGAGCTTCCAAATGTTTCTGGAGGGTTTGGCCGTGCTCCCTCAGGAGCTCAAGGAGAGAGGAGTCCCACAGGTTCTGCAGGCTGAGGGCGGGCAGGCGTCTGTGCCTGAGTGGGGCCACATCAGGAACCTGTACGAGCAGAGGAGGGCAGCTGCCGCTTTGTCCCAGGCTGTCCCACTTTGTCAGCATGAGAGGTCCTGTAGGAGAAGCTTCCCGTTTTAGCTCCCTGTTGAGCAAAGAACATGTTCTGAGAACCTCGCGGTAAGACACCCCTGCACCTGTGGACCGCAGGGCATCCAGGAGTGTGAACCCGGATTACCTGGGTAGACAGGGGACAGCAGCGAGAGAAGCAGGATGCACAGGCTGGGCTCGGCGGGCAGACTGGCAGACAGTCACCCACTCTGGGACAATGGGAGAGGTCTCACACTGTGCCCTTGGGGCCAGGTGGCCAGCCCCTTCCTTCCCCTCTGACTCCCAGAGCCAAAGCTCCGCCGCCTACCGCGGCAGCTCTGGCAGCTCTCGCCTCCCCTGTGTCTGCACGATACACAGGGGGACTGAGTGCTGGGCCCTCGCTGCTCTAGGCAGTAGACTAGTGTTCAAGCTGATGGAATGGAAGGCAACTTGGACTTATTCTTGTCTCCTTTAAGAATTTTACAGCCCTGATACCTGGAACCACGGTGGAGATTTTACACGGAGACTCGAAAAATATTATTCAACTGATTATCAACGCATACAATGTAAGTCATTGATGTCCCCCGCCACCACCTCCATCCCACCCTCCCCATGCAGGCCCTTGGACCTGAGGGGGTTGCAGTGGGCAGTGCTCCGTGCTCATGGGCTGAACTCTGCTCCCTACCCTCCCGGGTTGAGCTCCTTCCTCTTCCATTCGGGCTTGATGCGTCCCTCTTCCTCACCTCTGTGACACCATTCATCCTTGGCTGGTCTCAGTGGCCCTGGATGGGGCAGGGTAGTCACACCGGGCACAGTGGGTGCTGGTGCTCTCCACCCTCCCAGTCACCCAGCTGGCCTGGCATGGCTTTCCTTTCCTGTGTGAGGCAGCGGGGCATCACCACCTGGACTGCACCTGACCTTGCCTCGCAGCCGGTGGACAGTTGGAAAATCCCCCAACCCTTTGGCTCAGCAGAGAGCTGTGGGCCCTCAGCAGAGAAGGGCTTGAAAAGAGCCAGGAAGCAGGACCCACACACTCAGGACCTGACTGACAGTCCCTCCAGGGAGACTCAGAGTGGCCCTGGAGATTCTGTGCTCTCATAACCCTTCTTGAGAGGGTGGCTCTAACGTGAGTCCAGGCTCCTTAGACATGGTTAGTGCTCACTGCACACCCCAAGTTAATCAGCTGAGGAGTCATCTCTGAAACCTTTTTTGTTTCTTCCTCCCATCTCTCAATTCATAAATCAAGAAATGCTTGCCTTGGGCCCGGGAGCACAGTTCCTTGTCTGGGAAGTGCATACCCCTGTGTCCCCCTCCCTGCTGGCTCGACGTGTGGACTCGGTGTCCAGTACCTACCACACCCTCAAAGGGTAGAGTAATTCCTGGATTGGAATTCAGATCGCATCCTCCTGTTAGTTACACAGGGAGTAAAAGTGTGATGTAGTAACCCTGTTAGTCCTAAGTGAATGTAAAATAGAGCTAAGCTGGGAACCTCACTACCACCTGGGCATCACGTGTCTGGGAGAATCGCCTTGCTCTCCGCAGTGAGTGATCTGTGAGCGTTTGGCACCCCGCCTTCTCAGCAGTGGCTCTGTCCGCCTGCAGAGGTGCCCCTTTTGATGACAGTGCAGTTCAACTAGACCAGGAACTTGAAGCAGCGCCCAGCTCTGGGCTCAGGCTCGTGTCCCGGGGTCCCCAGGTAGCACAGGAGGAGCAGGGTTCTGAAATCCTGCCAGAGCGAAGAGAGTTTGCTTTCCCTTCCTTCTAACTAACCCTCCCCGCACCTCTGTGGCTGTGGTTAAGGCTTCTCCTCCCTCCTGGAACTTCCTACTGAGAGCTGCTTCGTACTTCTCCATTCTCCTGACAGGCTCGCCTTTTTGCTGTCTCCGACAGTTTTAAAACAAGATTGTAGAAGAGTTACAATCATTAGTACGTTGTTATTTTCAGAGTGGTTGCTCATATCACAAGATAGAGGCATGGAAAATTAATCAAATAATATTAACATAAACCTTTCTTTTCAGTGAACTAATAGCAGTAGTAAAACTATCTTAACTATTTCGTATGTCTGTCTATTTATTTCTCCTTGTCTTTTTTCCTTTCCTCCATCTCAGTTTCTCTTATTTTCAAGCAGTTTCTTCCTGTTTCACAATATCTGCTGTGCATTTTGGACCCTTTTTACTCTTGCAGCTTCTTACACGAGGGAGACAGATGGCATTTACACATCCATCTCCGTCTTCCAGTTCCCTAGCTGTTGCCCCAGAGCCTGCTGAGACAGGGTTTCCAAGTAGACCTACACTGTCGTGGTTTTTACTCCCACAGTGAGTAATCTGGGTCATGTTCCAGGAAGAGGGAGACACTTATCCTCTGTCACGTGAACACCACAGAAAACTAGCGTGGTGGGCAGGCTTAGAGAGTGTGGGGGTGCAGGCTCCCGGGCCCACCTGTGTCCCCACTTTCCAAGGGCTGCTTCTGTGAGCCTCTTGGATCTCAAACGGTGGACACCAGACTACAGGAAGCAAGAGGAGGGCTTCAGTCCTCCTCCCTCCTCCCTCTAGGATGGAGACCTGGAGGCAGGGTGACAGCAGCTTGTCCTGCTGAGTCAGGGCCTTCCTTCTGGAAGACACGGTTTGGCCTCATCTGGGTCTGTGATTGTTTGAAGGCGCCTGTCTGGGTGCCTGGGGAGGAACCACTTCCACACTGCATCCTCAGTCAGCTGCTAGTTGAGACCTGGCAAACCTCTGGACATTCTGATGTACCGGTCCAAAAGCTGGCTGGGGGCCGTCTGTCCAGAACCCCAAACGTTCTCTGTTTATCAGCATTTCATGGCTACTGTGTCTGTTCCCTTGCATGAGAATGCCAAAGCCTAAGCACAAGACACATTCCTGGGTCTGTGGTGGATCTTAGAGATGCTTAGTGACATTTTTCTCTGGGGTTTGTGGCACTGGCCCTGAACAGGATTTGTTCTGTATACTTCTATTTTTTTAAGGAAATCCAGGGATCTGGAGTCAGTGGGCAATAAGTGGAGGCAAGAGAGCAGTGGGGAGCCCTCTCTGCCTGCCACGGAGGAGTTGGGACCAAAGATTGGTAGAGAAAATGATCTTTCCAGGCCACAGCTGCTTCGGGAACCTGGGATGAACTGCCCAAGGAATGTGGGAACCTGGTATTATTGTTTTACTCCATGAGTCAAACTGAATTCTGTAGAAAACATGTTATGAAATAGAGCAGACTGCTTATGAATGAACACTGGAAACTCCACTTTTTAAAAAAGATTTCTAGGGGTTGGGGATTTCGTTCAGCGGCAGAAGCACCTGCCTGGCAAGTGTGAGGTCGTGAGCTTGATCCCCGGTACCAAAAAAAAAAAAAACAAAAACAAAGATTTCTAGAATACTGTTAACAGTATTCAAATTCAGTGGAAAAAATTTTAAACCTTACCAAGATATGATGAATGCACAACAACATACAGATTTAAAGCTTACAATTTGGTAAGTTTTGTCACATCTTACACCTATGAAACTTCCATCAGTATATTAAACGTGTCCATTAGTCCCCAAAGTTGTGGCCTTTGGTAATTCCCTACTTGTGCCCCCTTTCCAGTTAAGTTTAAAAATAAATATGAAGCTTCAGGGTATTCAGAGCAAAGTCTAGTTGGGGGAAGCCATGCTGCAGTGATAGTGTTCGGTAGTTGCATTAATAAGAAGATGCACATTGATTTTTGCCCCTGGTTCCTGACGTAAAGCTCCTCTAAACCTGGTAGTTAGGGGCAGTTTTAGAATCTATCTTCCTAATATTTGTTCTTCCACTCTGGTTCCTAACACACAGCTCCTAAGACCTCTAATGTTTCCTGATAGAGGGGGGGCATCTAGTTTTAATGAGGTACCTCAGTAAGCCCTCGGCCAGCTTGAGAATGGGGCTGGCCACAGAAAACCCACAGCATAATCAGAGGATTGGAATGCCAGCACCACCACTGAGCTCCTAGGATGGAAGGGTCTGAAGGTTGAGTTGATCAAGAGTGGGTAGAATTTTATCAGTCATACCCACATGTTAAAGCCTCTGTTAAAAAACCAAAAGGCTTCTGGACTGCTGAACAGTGGGGATTCCTGGGAGCTGGCACAGCTGGAGAGGGAACAGAAACTCTGCTCCTCTTCTGCATGCCTGCACTGTGCCTGTGTTCCACCAGGTATTCATCTTTATCTGTTATTGTACTCCTGGTTAATACACCAGTAAACACCAGAAAGGTGTTCCCTTACATTCTTTAAGCCCATCATAGCATCTGACTGGACCTCAAGTTGAGCACCATGGGAACTGTGATTCATAGCTGCTTGGTCATAAGTGTAAGTGGCACTGTACAGCTTGCAGCTGCATGGGTGGGTCTTGTAGGACAGAGCCTTTAACCTGGGTGATGTGACACTGTCTCAGGTAGACATCGTCAGAATTGAATTGAATTACATGCCACCCCGCTGGAGTCTGATGGAGAATTTCTTTGGTGGGAGGAGGTGCGTGTCACCTTCCTGGTGTCAGCAGTATTGTGTCGAGTAGTATGTAAGACCAGTGTGTAGGAAAAGCAACTTTGTTTTTTCCTTAGATACCTGTCTTCTTGCTGTTATCTTTCGGACCAGCCACTTTCCCCAGCTTGAAGCCTCTCTGGTTGTTATATGTGGGGTGGACTTTGCGCAGCAGGGAGAGGCTCTTCATAACCCTCCTAGCCTTCGCCTGATTCCATCTCTAGCCAGGCTGCCGTCCAGCCCTGGGTTCTGGTTGCATTTCTGGTGTCATCTTCCAGTAGGAGTAGTTCATGGTAGATTTCCTATGAATCATGGCAAATGTGGGTATTGACTTTTGCCTTCCCTGGAGAGCTGGCGGGTGACCTCTGGGGACAATTTGAGAAAATTGTGCTGGAACATATGTGACATATGAAATGACTAGTCTTTGGCCCTGCTGCAGAGGGAGCAGAATGGAAAGTGTATGTGGGCCTAGATGTCTTACAGATAGTCTACTCTACACATCTGTCATAAGGTGAAATCATCAGCTCTTGGATTTACAGATTTTCTTGTGCCAGAGTCTTCAGAGTGAGGAATAACCAAGTCCTCCCAAGGGAATTGGTGGTGTGGAGCTTTGCCCAGAAAGCTCAGCTGTCAGGCCTTGGATGCATACACATATGCACACGCATGCACACACACAGATGACAGCATCGTGTTGCACTAACAGAGGGGAGGCAGGACTCCGAAAGGAATTGCAGGGGCCTCTTTTCAAACTGAGTAAGAACAGAATGAACTGGCAACCAGTAGAGCTGCATGTGGAGGGTGACATCAGAGTCCGTGGTGTTTTCCTCTAGCGGACCACATGTTTCTTCTTCGATTGTTGCCATGAAGTCTGCTCCACCCATTCCACAGCTGATCTGACTTAAAGCAATTGCAGATGTGACCTAACCTGACTGGGTGTGTAACAAAACAGCCTTTAGTAAACTTCCAACAGTCCTGACATTGGGTCCTTTGCCTACCTTGAGGAATAGGAATTGTCTGCCAGGGCAAGTCTACTGAGAATTCTCAGAAGTTGCACACGAACTGTTTGGTGTGGGGAATGATTGCCTGAGACTTTGGTCCTCCATATTTTGTCATTCATTAATTCATTCATTTATTCAACAAATATATACTAATGGCCTGACATGACAGGCAGCATCATGCTGTACCGTGGCAATAAAACAGGCTCCTCTTCCTCACAAAGCTCATAATCTTCGGGGGAGAAACGGACTCTTCCGACCAGGGCCCACACTTCGCAGTGTCAGAGAGCTGGATCTGGAGAAAGATGCCTGCATGGAGTGTGACAGTTAGAATGGGCATGAGAAGGGATGAGGGGCTGCTCTGGATCTGCCTGCCTCTGGCAGCTGGATCTGGTTTCAGTTTTTCACTTAAACAAGTGGTCAAAGTGAATCATTTCCACAGTTCCTGCCACCTGCAGCATCTTAAGAGTTTCTGGCTCCAGAAGCTTTTCAGGGCACAGGAATAATACAAACCTCAGGTCTGAGCTCACGCCTTCGGGATTCTAGAGCCTGAGTAGAACATAAGATTGGTTTTCCATCCTGTGCTCTCCTCCCCCTCCTAAACCCACCCTTGATGCTTCCAAGGGCAGCTTCTCATTTAATTTTTAGAAAGCTCCAAACCACCTCTTAGAATATTTATCACATCCTCGTACTTATATATAATTATAAATATATTTAAAATTTTTACCTTAAAAAAATATAATCATCGTTTATTTGACCTGAGCACCTTAGCATAACTGTTGTTAAAATATCCACCCTTTCATCCATATAACAATAGCTTGTTTTAAGTCCTGGAGGAATACTGTTTATGACATGACCCTTGGAGCTCACAGCGTGGCAGGAAGACAGAGCTGCAAATAACTAATCACATTCAGCAGAAGAGTGCTGTGTGTACTGAGTGGCGTGTTTGTGATCCATGCCCAGCTAAGACTGGTGCTCTTAAGAAGTGCATTTGAAAGGGTTAGTATTTTTAGAATTGTGGAAGCACTTAGACACTTCGTTGAAAAGGAGACTATTTTTTGCAGTATTTTCAACAAGCTGTTAATTTGTTGAGAAAACTGCATATTACACTTATTCAAGTTTAGCTCTACACGCTCAGCAAAAAAGACCACAAGAGCAAGAGCTATTGGACATGTTTAGAGAAATGCACCCTCAGCTGATTTAATCATTGTACAGATGTTAGAATATACTCACTTGAACTAAATAGTGTAGCCAACGACTCTCTTAAGCTATGTGATGTATCCTTTTGCTTCTAGGCTACAAACCTCAATAGTACGTTCTGTAGCCCTGAAGATACAAACTGAAGGCAATATTGCAGGAAATTTAAACACAAGGGTATTTGTGTATCTAAACACAGAGAAGGAATAGTAAAAATAAAGGCGTGCTAGCCTTTTCGCACTGTTACAAGATACCCAAGATAAATAACTTGAAGAAAGATTTATTTTGAGTTGTGGTTTCAGAGGTTCAGTCCGTGGGTGAGAGCATCCTGGACTTGGGTGAGGAGAGGATCATGGTGGGGAGGGTGTGGTGCCACAGAGCCGCTCACCTTGCACCCGGAGGAGAAAAGGAAGCTGCAGGTACTGGGGAGTCAGTGTGCCCTGGTGGGACACCTCCCAGGTGACCGATCCCTTCAGCTAGGCCTTGTTTCCTGCTGTTTCTACCCTCCTAACACGCCATCGGATTATGAATTGATCAGTGAATTAGCCCATTGGTGAAGTCAGAGCCCTCAGAATCCAGTTGCTTCCCAAAAGTTGCACCTCTGAACACTGCTGCATAGGGGACCAGTCCTTCAGTGCGTGTGTTTTGGGAAGGCATTTCAGATCCAAATCATAATACTGGATAACAAGACTTTTTTCAGATCTGTTGTAATCTTAATGGGACCACCATGATATATATGGTCTGTCATGGACTGAAATGTCATTAAATCTATAAATAAGCATTCCTGTCTCATTTCTTTTTCTTACATTTGTAAGATTCATCAGTGTCATTGCACATAGTTGGATTTGCATTATAAGGTGCTCTGTTATGTGAACATCAGTTTTTTTTTCAGTTCTTCAGTAAATAGGTATTGTTCAGTTTTCAGATTCTAGCTATTACATACTGCATTGCTGTAAACACCCACGTGTCTTGTGACATGTACAACTGTTGGGTGTAATCCTTGGGTGAGTGCTAGGTCTATCAGGGCAGCCTGAGCTTTAGAAGATGCTACCTAATGGTTTTGTAAATGGCTGTATCGGTTGGTATTCCAATGGGCAAGGTACAAGAGCCCTGTTTGCTGTCTTCCTAATGTGTTATATTTCTATTTTGATTTCGTTCTATGCCAGTGGATCTTTTTGACTTGTCCTTTGTGTCATGCACGGCCTTGGGAACAGTCCACAAAGACCGCACTGTCTCATAATGTTTTAGACTCAGGATGTGGACCTCACCTGATGAGGCATAGGCTTGATCAGGGAGAAGGTGAGGGTGGGTCCTGGAGAAGGGGCCTGCTGAGTTAACTGGCTTTGCAGGCTCATAAAGGTTAGCCGTTGGGGAAAGAGAGAGCGACTAGTCAAAGGAGTGGAATCTGGGGTGTGTGGAAAGGCCAGAAGCCTGGAAAGCATGCAGCAAGATGTTCTGAACTGTGCGTGTCAGGGGAGAATAAAGAGAACACAGAACATGCTGGTGGAGCAGGTAAGAATCTTACTGGTCAGAGAGGCCATTATCATCCTGTCCGAGCTGACAGAAGAACTAAACCAGGTCTTCCGGGACAGTGTGGATGTAGAGAAGGGAAGGGACGGGGGGGGGGGGGCAGGTAGCCAAGCCTGCTGGCTCTTTCCTTGGCTTGAACTTCCACAGTTAGAAGAGGTCACGCAGGCATTGGGATGCCAGTTCGGAGAGCACCACAACTGGAGCCTTTATTAAGTGGTCCAAGCTTCATTTTCTCTTTCTGTTTAGAGTATTCGGTCTAAAGTGGAGCTGTCTGTCTGGGATCAGCCTGAGGATCTGAATCTCTTCTTCACTGCCACCTGCCAGGATGGCCTGTCCTACCCCAATCAGAGAAAGTGTGAGGGCCTGAAGATTGGAGACACGGTGAGTATTCACTGCCAGCGTCTGTGAGCTGTCTTTAGCGTCAGGCATCAGTCTTTGGATCCTGGTACCCTTTGTGAATTACAAGAGCATTGTGCTCTGTCTCCCAGGCAGCATCTTGGGGAGTTTCCTAAGCCTGTGTGTAGAATCCTAAGTTCATTTGTTAAGGAACTGTAGTCAATAAATGGGCCCCCACGCATCAAACAACTCCTCCAGTTGACATTGTGCCCTTGATATTTTAGTTTTAGTTTTACAATCGGTGGAAGAGTGTGTGCAGGAATTGCAGTGACCTGGCTCCACGCCTAGACTTCTGCACTGTGCTCTGTACCCAGCGTAATCTGTAAAGTACGAGGAGAACTCTCCACCTATTCTGCTGTGATAAGTGGATAAGCATGTCTACAGCCTTGGAGGAAACAGTTGCCTTCCAGATAATGGATGTAAAGAGTGCACGTGAGGATATGCAGCTGTGTGGCACACCAAGTGCTGGAGCACAGGAGCAGGGCAACGTCGTCACGGGCAGTTGGAACACAGGCGCCATGCACAGTGGCATGGAGGGCTGTGCACCTGGCTTCTAGAGGTGCCCGCTGCAGGAGACCCACTCCTGGTTTGCTTCATTCTCTGTCCCACTGACCAGAAAACGGAAAGGGAATGAAGCAAAGTTTTCTTCCATACTTCAGAGACTGGCTAGAAACAGAAGCCTTAAAAATAGACGACTCTCCCCACTGGGCATTCTGAAGCTCAGGGAGACGTGGTCATAGGTGCATGCTGCTCAGCGGGGCGTCTGGGATCCTGGCAGTTCCCTCCCCAGAGCCTCCCCTCCCCTCTCACAGTGGCCCTTTGCCCCTTCACAGGTTTCAGACATTCCTCTCACCGTCCAGCTCTTGCAGCTCGCCCCATAAACAGACATTTGCAGCACCCTGTGCAGTGTGGAGGTTGAGAGGGTGCAGAGCTCCCGCCTGACCACCAACTCCTTTTCTCACGGGGTTGTTTGCACCATGTTTTTCTTTTAACGGAGTCAAAAAAAAGGCCTGCACAAATGGTCTGAGAAGTCATCACAAGTGAGTTATGGCTTTTTACTCAGAAGGCCTTCAGAGCCCCAGATGGCAAGGCCAAAACAAGACTTCACTCCCATCTTCCTGTTTATGCAAATCAGTTTTTGTACTTAAGCCTTTACCATCAGAAATAGAACCTGCCTTGTTCAGCAGTAAATAATACTTAACATACGTGTCAGCTGCTGGGGGAAAGGCCTCATCTCTGTAAAGGGAGATGTCTGGTGAGATTTTACTCTTTTTAAGTAATTTCAGAAGTTGTACTGTGTTTATGTTGTCTTGAACACTTATAATGATTACTCAATGAAGAGGAATCTTTAAAATAACACCAAAGCTGTAAAATCCTGGGTAGTAAGAAGGCGGTAATGAAAATGGAGAAGGGAACAGGAGGAGCATCTGAGAGAGCTCTGCAGGTCGCTTGGACGGAATGTTGGGTGCAGTGTGTGCAGGACTACAGATCAGTGGGTGGAGCACACCCCAGGGAGGTACCTCCAGTTACAACAGGAGGGAAGCAGGAGAGACTGGATGCTCTGTGCAGGGCCACACACACATGCACGCACGCACGCACACACCTCACACACACACACACACACACACACACACACACACACACACCCCTTACAGGTTTGAGCAAGGCCCCTGCTGATTTCTGTTGACTCCTGGGAGCTGGGGATTTAGCTCAGCGGCTTAAGCACCTACCTTGCAAGCAGGCAGTCGTGAGTTCGATCCCCAGTACCGATAAAAATGAAAAAGACAAAAAAAAAAAATCTGTTGACCCCTGTGATAAGGACCAATATGGCGGCGGGCGGGGGGGGGGGGGCTTCAGACAGAGCATCCAACAGGCTCCTAACTGTAAACAAGCTTTCTGTGACTGAGGTTCCGGGCCTCTCATCTGTTTGTTTGTGTTTGCTGTTAGCCTGCGATGAACTCCCAGAAAGTCTGCTTATCAAATGTGGGAAGATTACAAAGCTGGAGAGAACAGTTTTAACACAAAGAAGCAAAAGCAAGATTTTAAAATAGTTTTCAAAACTGAGTGTGGGTTAGAATCATCAGGATTAAGACCTTGTGTTTCGGCTCAGAATATTATTAGGGTAAGAGAAATTTGGGTCTGATAGGAATTTTTTTTTTTTTTAATTAGTCTGGTAAGTTCATGGCTTCAATGTTCAGTGTGCCTAAGCAATGTTGCTTTTAAAAATGGGGTGCGCTGGTGCACACCTATAATCCCAACTATTCAGGAGGCTGAGGCAGGAGGAGCATACGTTCCAGGCAAGCCTGAACAATTTAGTAAGATGATGTCACAAAAGAAAACTTTTAAAAATGGGCTGGAAATACAGCTCAGCACTTCTTTGGTTTAATCTCCAGTACTAGAAAAAAGAAATAAATACAGTAAAATAACAAGGAAAGACAGTTTGACTGCAGTGTGTGTGTGTGTGTGTGTGTGTGTGTGTGTGTGTGTGTGTGTGTTGAGACAGGGTCTCATTGCGCAGTTCAGGCTGTCCTTGAACTCACTTTGTAGCCCAGGATAGCCGTAAACTCAACAATTGTCCTACCTCAACTCCGAGTGCTGGGATTATAGGCATGCGACTTGGGCTGCATTCACAGAAACAAGTATTTGTGAAACCTCTGAAACTGTGATTTTTTTTCTTTTAAAGCAAGTGTCAGACTCTATGGTCAGGTCTTTTTTTAAAAGGAAATGTACCAAGAAACTACCATGACAAGTTGACTGGAAACCAGAAAGTCCAAGGATGGGGTTGATAATTATACCATAAAGTCAGAGTGGAGCTCTTCCTGGAAGCAGAGAACGATGCCAGTTTATGCTGCTTTAAGCAAAAATGATTTCATTGGGATCCTCTAGGGACCCAAGGGACAAATCCATTTAATCAAAAAAAAAATACTTTTAACAAAATAGGCAGCGAACAGTTCTGTCTTCTGTTGGTGATAGATGAGCAGAGTGGACACACACGGAATGTAACAGGGTTACTCAGCCCGAGTAGCAGGGTGAAAATTCAAGCCAGGGCTTCCTGGTTCTACGGCCAGCACCCTTTACCACTTTTATCTAGCCTTTTTCCCCCGGTTTTTATTTTTATTAGCACACAGTTTTTACTTGCCTTGTGAGGAACTGGTCCATTTGCATCACACATCTTAATTCTTTTGTATCCCCTTTCCCTCCCCCTTCTCCCCTCTCCCTCCATCTCTTGGTCTCCTTCCCATTTGTAAAAGATCTGTCTCCCTATTTCCTGTTATTTGTCTTTTATTTTGCGCTTTACTTATACTTTGGGTTTTGTATATAAGAGAAACCATGCAATACTTAAGCTTGTCTGATTTATTTCGTTAGAACAGTCTCCGGTTGTATCCATTTTCCTACAGATGCCTCAAGTTTATCCTTCTTTTTGGCAGAGTAATACTCCACTGTGTATAAATACCACATTTTCTTTATTCATTCATCTCTTGATGGACACTCAGGCTGCTTTCAAAGTTTAGCTATTGTAAATTCCGCTGCTATCAACATAGTGTGCATGGATCACTGCAGTATGATATCTGGAAAGATACCTAGGAGGGAACTAGCTGGGGCAATGGAATGCCTACAGACCTGTTCTGTCCTTTCTCTCTCAAAAGACATTTCAGAACAAGGTCTAATGACAGAAAGGCACCTTCACCAAGAAAGCAGTTTACTGGGGGCACCTGTGTCCCGTACCACACTCAGTTCACAGGACCACCAGCGTGGCTGTGGAACAGCACCACCTTCATGCCAGAAGGCAGCCTGAGCACTGAGAAGGGGCTGACGTGCCCTCTGGCTCCACTGCTAAGTTGCAGGGTCCGGTCCCAAGCCACGCTGTTTCCACTGCAGCCTGAATCAGCTCAGGAAGCACAGCCTCCTGGCCACAGAGGACGTCCCTGTCAATCTCTGTGATATGGGTCCTTGTAGCCCACCCGATTTTGGTGGGTTTTTTTTTTTTTTTTTTTTTTGTCTTTTTGCTTTTTTTATCGGTACCGGGGATCGAACTCACGACTGCCTGCTTACAAGGCAGGCGCTTATGCCACTGAGCTAAATCCCCAGCCCCTAGCCCACCCGATTTTGGCAGGGATATGGCTGGTGCTTTCTCTGTTCTCTGTAGCAGCTTTGCAAGGTGGCCTTCCCTTCTCCATTTTAATGTGTGACATACAGACCCAAAGAGAGCAGGAGAGACTGGCCCGAAGTTCACTGCCAATGATTGCAGGTGTCAGGACCAAAATCCAGGCCCGTTCCTGTGGCTTCCTCCTTGAGAGCATCGAAGTGTGCAGTAGTGTCATCGCTGTGTGCGCACAGACACTCTGGTGTGTGTCTTTCGCTTTTTGCTGGGATGTCTCCAAAAAAAGACATTATCCAGAAATCAGGAAAACATTTTCAGTCTTCTTTGTCACAGTATGAAAAAGCTCTGCTGTGTGGGGATGATCCTCAGAACATTTGAAGCAGTCATAAAGGAGCTTCAGCCCGTGCGGGCCACCTTTGCAGCTGTTCCTGTAGCCACAGCCCTGGATAGAACAGCAGTGGGCCCTGAGTTAAGCCTCACGCCTGCCTCTGTGTCTTCTCACTGGCCCAGAGAGGTCCCAGCGCAAAGTGAAAATGTGGCTTCATGTTTAGAACTTACTGAGTGCTTCAAGATAGCAACCACAGAGCCTGGAACTTGGCTCAGGCTCTTCTAAGTAAGGCTGCATGGCGCAAACTCCAGAAAACCAGTACTGCCATGGCTGAGTGCCCACACTATCTCTGTACCAAAAGAGAGGGGCTCATCACTTCCTCTGGCTTTGATGCCCTAGGGCTGGGGAGTATACTTCCTGCTAGGATGAATGTGATTTTTTTTATGCCTGATCCCAGAAAGCAAATTTTCCTTTCCTCTTGGGCTAAAGGAGCTTTCTCCAAAGAGTTACAGTGGGGCTGCAGCGTCCCAGCTGTCTACCGAGTCCTCTATGGACATGTGTCCAAGGACCTGTGTTTCAGAACTTGCCAGTGACTGCTGAAGTCCACTTGTGTCCAGTAAATGTTTGTGTGTCAAACACTGTGCTCACCCAGCATGAAAGGATGAGGCAGAAAGCAGGGCTCAGAGTCCAGCGGACAAGGTGGTCATCATGTAAATGAATCAAGAGCAGGTAGGACAGACAGTGCTGTGACAAAGATGGCATGGCCCTGCCAGAGCCCGGAGCAGGAAGGGCTCCCGTGGCAGAGGGGCACTGCAGATGAGGCAGGGGAGGGAGGCGGATGCCCCACTGGTGGACACAGTGTGTACAGAGCAGAGAAGCAAGATTAGAGGGCATGGTAAGCACCTCCCATTGCAGGAGGAAGCAGCGGAGGGGCTGTCTGTGGTGGGGAGAAGGTCGAGGACCAAAAGGTAAGCAGCTGGCCCAGGCCATACTGTTGGGACATATATGCCAAGTTAAGGGGATGCCCACTGTTTGGCAAGTGGGTTCCGTTATTGGGGGCCACAGGTTGGGAGGCCTGAGCACAGGTCCAGGAATGGAGAGGGATGGGCAGGAATATGGAATTCACTGAGGAGTACGGGGCTTAGCTGGTACAAAGGAGCTAGGGAAAGCAGGCAGGATTCACCTGTCAGCAGGGACCTCAGGGTTTGGCCCAGGCACAAGGACACAGCCTTGGATAGCGTGGCTGAGTGGATCTCACCAAACAACTTCTGGCAGAAGCTGGCAGGGGGCAGGCAGAAGCTTACAGTCGCTCACAGAGGCAGTAGCCCTGTGATCACTTTGCATTCCCTGGGCTAAGCCGTCTGTTCAGCAAGAAACAGATTTGGCAGAGGGTGAGGGACAGGGAAAGGCTCAAAGGGAAATCCTCCTTAAATAAATCCAGAAGCCCTAGATCCAGTGAGGTTCTCTTTTCCTGGGGTCTAGGTGCTTCTCTGATTCTCCTCCCTTGATCTGAACACCATTGGCAGGGAAAGGTTGGCAGTAGGCATCCTGGCTTACCAGCTTTGACACATCAGTATGCAAGCAGCTAGCTGTGCAGCCAGCAGTAACGCCCCGCACAAAGGGCCCACTGAGCCCCGTCCTGGCCTTCCCATGGCATGCCCCCACCCCCTCTCTGTCCACTGCTCTGGCCCCTGTCGCCAGGCCCAGCTCTTTGTAGAGTTCTAAGTGGACTTGGCATCTGTGTATCCCAGGCATTGGGGGTTTGGTTAGGGGCCGGGCAGCCTTGATGAAAGCCTGGACTGGCCCAGCAGCCCTTTGGGGAGCTGGGAGCACCCCATGGAGGCCAGGCCACAATTCTGCTGTGCCTGTGACCTTTGGCTTACATCCTGGAGTGGGACACTGGGAAGTGTCTAAGAACTGAGGAGCTGTCCTGATCAGAAGTGAATTGGAATCCTCAGTCCCCAGGGAGAGACCATGGGGACCGCTTTCCCAGGGCTTCCCACCATCTCTGGATTCTTTCCCATGCCACGAAGGAAAATGGACTCTGAAAGAGGAGTGAGGAAGCTCATTCACTCACTGTTCCAAAGTGCCTTTTAGGGCATTCTGAGGCCCAGCAGGAGCTGAGACCTGGTGGCAGAAACAGAGCTGCTCTCCGTTATCAGGCCACTGGCTGCAGGCCAGGCCTCGACTGTACTGATAGCACCCGATGATCCAAGTGTTGGCCCAGGACACTCCCAGGGCCTTGAAAGCTGGCCAGGCGGACAGTGTGAGCGTTCCGGGGATGCACAACTGGCAGTGATTCAGAGGCCATCGGGAGACTCGGGAAATGCAGATCGCTCTTTCCTTACTGACTTGTGTGAAGGTTACGCTCACAGGTGGATCTTTCCTGTAGTCACTCAGTAATGAAACACCTGTGGCTCTCCTCAAGGCAGTCATGCTTTTGTAGCTGACTCCAGACTACAGAAAGCTCTGTGGCCAGAGGGACTGACTGCACTTAACAAGCCCAGCAGGTTATAGCCCTAGGTGGCTGCAGCTCCAAGCAAATCCCTGTTGCTCTCTGGGCCCCAAAAGGGCATGAGTCTGGCTCCAAAAACTCTATTTCTCACCCCCTCACACACAGCATCCCCTCCCCACAAAGATATGGGAAATCTCTGACCACCACTTCGGGGTTACCCTCAGGTGACCTGGCCACAGGCATCTAGCCCAGCCCACTTAGTGGAGTTTGAAGGCAGGGAAACCCACGCTGCATTCTAGGTGAGCTCCGCCCCACTGCTGTGGGCGCTTGGCCAAATTCACCAATCCTCCCGCCTGTCATCTCTCTGGTGAGATGACGATGTCTTCTTCTGGGGTGTATAAAGGAGACACTTGTGGCAGTGCCCAGCCTGGGCTGGTCCATAATAGGCACTTGGCAGCTGCTAAATCTGTGTCAGTGGATTTCTGTACCAGGTACATCCCATCTTACATGCTAACCTTTAGTACCCCCTATGCCTTGGGGCCTTTGAACTCAGCCTGGAACTTATTTTTGCCCATCTCTACCTGTGCCACCTTCTCCTTACCCCACGCAGAGATGGAGGTGAGGTAGGGCCAGTCCAGATTGTACCGCAGGTCCTGGCACTGTGCTCCGCTCACCTGTCCAAAAGCATCCTGGCCAGTGTGGTTTCAGACCTGCTGGGACCCTGGTTTGCCACTGGGGAGGACTTTCTCCAGGACCCAGGCATCTGAGTGTTTCCTACTGTTACAGAATCTGAAGAAAGCCTTTTAGAGTAAAGACCTCAGAATAATAGGGAAATAGAGAATGTTTAGAAGCATTTATTTTTAGGGTTATTACCTGAGAAATGCCTAGAAAAGCAAGCCTTTGATGACTTTTTTTAAAGATCACTTTTTCCAACCCAAATAATAACAGTGAGAACACTAACAGGTAACAGGGGTTCCTAGCTCATTTTGAGCTTCATATTGAGCTGAAGAACCTTTTGGAGGACAAAGCTGTCTAGGCACGGGCGTGCTGGCCCAGTTGGCAGCCCTACCTGTCTGGGGAGTGGGGAAAGCCCTAGCTGGGAAAAACGGTTTTCTGTGGCATTTCCAGGGCTCTGAGGGCAGTCGAGTCCATGCATAGGGCCGCCCTCACTGCCCACCTTGCTGCCAGTTTCTAAGGCATCCCATGAGGAGCTCCAAAGTTAGAAACAGTCACTTCCGTGTTTTGCTTAAAGTCTGTCCATGTATACGTGACGTTTCATCAGATGGTGACTCCTCGAGTCCTCAGGGCCATGGGCTGATGGGGTAAGATGTGGCTGTGAGAACTTTCCAGAAGTGGGGTTGGGACACAGGATGGGGCAGCGTTCAGATGTGTCTGTGCACAAATCTCAGTGTCCACTCATCCCTTGTGCAGCACGAAAGGAGCTCTGTCCTCAGAAAGGCAGACAGGTACTTGCCACCCTCGCACCTCGTGCCGGGAGAGCCCCCCTGCCTCTGCTTCTAGCCTGACCCCCAGCATGGTGTCCAGTAAGCTGCTGATGAAAGGCTTTTGACATGGAAGGGGAGGGTGTCCTGCAGTGGAGGACATAAAGAGAAAGAGGGCCGCAGGACCATGTAAACTTGAGTGATTCCTATGCCTGTCTTTGAAGCCTCTGTCCTCAGAGTCCTGAGGATGATAAGAGACCACAAACATTAGGGAACCAACCACAGTGCCACCAAGTGTCAGCACACCTGAACACTCTGTACTCTAGAATTCAGAGAACTCTTCCTCCACATGCCACTTTAGGTTTCTCCTGGGGGCAAAAAATTGCACCCTGACTGTGCCCCTGAGTGATTGAGAGGCCCTGGCTTGCCACAACCATGATGTTCCTTTCTCCTTTCTGCCCAGGCATCCTTTGATGTGTCGGTGGAGGCCTGGAGCTGCCCCGGCAGACATACTGAGCACACGTTCACACTGCGGCCCGTAGGCTTCCGAGACAGCCTGCGGGTGGTGGTCACCTACAACTGCACGTGTGGCTGCAGCACGGAGCTGGAGGCCGACAGTGACAGGTGCAGTGGGAACGGGACCTATGTATGTGGCCTGTGTGAATGCAACCCCAGCTACCTGGGCACCAGGTGCGAGTGCCAGGATGGGGAGAGCCAGAGCGTGCATCAGAATCTGTGCCGGGAGGCGGAGGGCAAGCCGCTCTGCAGCGGGCGCGGTGAGTGCAGCTGCAACCAGTGCTCCTGCTTCGAGAGCGAATTCGGGAAGATCTACGGGCCTTTCTGCGAGTGCGATAACTTCTCGTGCGCCAGGAACAAGGGCGTCCTCTGCTCAGGTAGGTGCTGCAGCCAGCACCAGGTCCAGGTGCTGTTCGGATATCTCCTCCTAAAGCCTGCTTTTTCCTTGATGGTGGTAGAAATATCACAATCACAGTTGTTTTGGGCAAAGACTTTGGACAAGCCTTGCCTACCATGGGCACAGGGATGAGGACCAGCATTAGAACAAAAACAGAAGGCACTACTGCCTTGTGTCAGACTGCATCAGAGGGCATCACCCAGCTGACCTTCCAGGTAGTGCAGGAATTAATGTCAAGCCTGCCCTTCACTGCCTTCAGTGGGGAGATCACTGGGTGTGGTGACAACTGTCTTCTTACCATACATTGTGTTCATTTATTACTGCTCCTCTAACAGTCACCACAAAGTTAGCCACTTGGAAATAATCCCAATGAGTTGGATTCCACTTCTACAGGTCAATAGTCTGTACTGGATTTTTGGCTAACATAGAGCTTTTAGCAGGGTTCATTCCTTCCAAAACCTCTAGGATCTTGCCTCTTTCCCAGCCACTAGAGGCTGCCTCTACTCTTGGGTTTGTATTTCTTCCTCTGCTTGCAAAGCTGGCTGTGGAGCATCCTCGGATACTTTCCTGAGTATAACCCTTGCTTCCGCTGTCAGTCTCTTCTGAGGCCCTGCCTCCTGGCTCCATAGACCTCATGGTTCTGCAGGACACTCAGGATTTCCCAGGAAGGTCTCCCCATCTCAAACTCCTTAACCTTATCACACCCACAAAGTCCTCATTCCTACACATGGTAACAGTCACGGGCTCCGGGATTGAAGATTGGACGTCTTTATCGGTCGTTGTCTGGCCAGCACATTCCTGGTTGGAGAAGGTCCTCCTCGTATCTTCATGGTTCATATTCTTAACTCTCCACATGGGTGACCTGTCAGACCTCTGAACACTTCTGTGCGCTTCTCCGCCCTCTCTTATCCACGCCGAGCCCCATGGCTCTTTCTTTTCTGGGGGTCCTGCTGCTTGTTAAGTGTCCCACACAGAACACATTACAGCATTTGTCCTTGGGATAAGGGCGCCTCAAGCAGAGCGCTTCAGCAGAGCGCTTGCCCTCTGGGATCCGGACACACTCCTGCCATTGATGTGTCCTAATGATACCCTCACTTTCCTGTTCAACAGTCACATTTCACTCTTGAGTTTGTTTTTATTTTTACTACCAAAAGGTTGTTACTATTTTTTTTTTTTTTGTCTTTTTCTTTTTTATCGGTACTGGAGATCGAACTTACAACCACACACTTGCAAGGCAGGCCCTTATGCCGCTGAGCTAAATCCCCAGCCCCAGTTGTTACTATTTTGAATGAACTACAGCCAACCTAAGTTTTGCTGCATGATGTTTGAGGCCTGATTTTTTGAATCTAAATGTAAGACTTCACACTGGTTCCCGTTAAGTCACAGATTGGTGTTGCCCATTGTGGAGGGGCATTCTAAAAAGATACTTTAAAACCATGTCTTAAAAGGGCCATTCCATCCACAGCACACCTGCAAAGGTGGTAAACAAAATGACTGGAGGCAGGGCTGGTGTTTTTCCTGTGGTTTCTAGAATTCCCTCCGTGAGAATGGTCTTCAGGTGGGAAAGGCTGATTTGAAAGGGATTTAGGGTCCCATTGTGCAGATGGAGCATGGTGTGAGGTATATGTGCAGCAGATCAGGTAAACAGTGCATCATCTGGGGAGGAGCACCCACCCTTCCATGCGAGAGATGCGTGCAGTGGGCAGCCCAGGCATGGGTACCCAGGGAGGCTTCTTGGAGCAGACCTCTCCAGGAGACAAGGAGGAGCACACCCATGGGTGCCAGGAAGCCAAAATGCTCAGAGTTGGAGCTAGGACTTCAGGTGCCAGATACTGGATCAGAGGTTGACTCTGTCTTTCAGGGTGATGATGGGTTGGTGTTAGCTGGATGGTTCTGTCTGTGGTAGCAGAAAAAGTCTGGCCTCCAGAGCAGGCAGATCTGAGCCTAAATCCCCGCCACCACGTGGTGGTGTGGGGCTTTGGACATGGAGCTGTGGGAAATCAGAGACAGAGTGGAAAGCATCTAGTATATCACCTGGTGCAAAAAGAGGTCTTGACTCTCACTGGTTGCCAGCTGAGTCAGTGCCACAGCTTCAGAGAGCCATAGGTGGAGCCAGGCTTAGCCCAGGCTCTCCCTAAAGAAGGCCAGCATGGCGGCATGGTTTCTGTCCGCGTTCATAGCCACAATCAAAGCTCAAGCAGGATGACTGTGTTGATAATGGGCCTTTCACAGTGCTTTTCTTTTAAAGAACTACAGGCAACCATCCTAGGGCATCCCTTCTTTCCCCCACAAGAGCCAGGAATGGCCCCGTGAAAAGCCTTTACCCTAGAAGGCCATTCATGTCCACAATGCCTGGGAGTGTATTTACCTGTCCCGTCTCCACGGTTGATTAGCCAGCAACTCTGGTTATCTTCGCTTTTTCCCATTTCTAAAACCGAGCCAATACCATTTGCTGCTGTACCGCTTTGAGAGCTGAGAGTGAAGACCAGATGAAGGGCAGATAGCGTGCACAGCGTGCTGGAGCCAGCAGTCAGCAGCTGAGGCTGAGCAAACATGCACTCTTCTGCTCAGCCTCCAGGATCCACGGTTTTTCTGAGTGGCTCTTGCATAGCCAAATTCACTCAGCCCTATGTCTAAAAGCCCTGGGTAGTCTTTCTCTGGGGCTGTCCTCCAACTGTTTAACAGGGTGGTGTCCAGAGACTCTCATTGGTCATGGAATAGAGAAGCCAGAGCCCTGACGCACAACTCACTGACTTCCTGGGACTGCTGGGAGGGAATGTGTCTGTCCATTGGAAAAGCCGTACACATTCATTCAAGAAAACTGGAGATCTGGGGAAGTAGCTGGATAGGCGGTCAGCCTGTGCTGTCTGCCTGAGCAGGATTAATGGGGACCAGCCACCTGGCAAACCCTCGAGGGCCTCTTCCTCCCCCGCTGTTTAACTTGCATGTCTTCTAGCGCCATGTGTGCAAGAGAGCAGCTTTCTCAGAGAGCTCGAGGGTCACTGCTAGGTCTAGAACATTCTGAAAACTAGAAAGAGAATGTTTAAATCATCCAGAATTGCACCGCTCATACTTTAGGAAGTTAATTTCCTTCCAAACTTTTTTCTAAAGTAGCATGGTTGTGTGTGTGTGTGTGTGTGTGTGTGTGTGTGTGCGCGCATACACTTTTGTATCTTGCTTTTTCCCTGTAATAATATATCCAGAGAAGCTCTTAAAGTTGAATTGCTTTAGTGAACCACTGAGGAGGCACTCTGACTCTCTTCATCACACCCTCCCCTGGCCTCCCCCACCCCTTCCCTTCACAAGCCACAACCAGTTGAAATGTGAAGCTCTCCAAGTCTTCCTACAGGAGATGGTTTCTAGAATGAGGTCATTGTTGTGTTTGTTAATTTCACAAGAACTCAGGACTGAGCCGGGCTCCAGGCAGGATTCAATGGCACACATTCTTAAAGCAGCCCCTGTCAGTCTGGCAGCGCCCTATTCCTCCTTGTCTCTCAAACTTTTGCTGTTTTTGGAGACATCTGTGAGTGGGGGAGGAATTCCCGGGCACCCAAGCTCAGCATGGGGCTCCCACTTGTAGTCTGTAGGCGTCAGTTTTGAGCCCCCAGATTGCCATTCCATTTGGGGTTTTCAAGAGAGGGAAGCCCATTTCCCAGCCACCACTCTGCTGACTCAGCCTGGGGATCGGGTAAGAGGATTGGGTGGGTGTGGAGTCCTCAGACCGTGGCTGTCAGGCACACTTGAGGAGATGGCCGAGACAGAGACACCTCAGAGCCACAACTTCTGCTTGTCTTTCCGTCCATGTGGGGCTTAGTGCTGTCCTTTACCAAAATCCACGTGCGATCACAGGTTTTCCACCTTAAAAATGAGTACGGAAGCAAGTCAGGCCCGGTCTGGAAGCAGCTGAACAGTTCTGTTACTACTTGTGTGACACACGGGTATTGTGAAAGTGCACGTGTGTGTGTGTGTGCGTGTGTGTGTGTGTGTGTGTGTGTGCGCGCTCAGGGCTCAAGGTCTCGCTGCTTTCTGGAAGCAGCCTAATGTAGAACGTGACAGCTGTTTCCATGTATGTAAAAGAGGCTTCTCAGGGGCTGGGGATTTAGCTCAGCGGCATAAGCACCTGCCTTGCAAGCAGGCAGTCATGAGTTCGATCCCTGGTACCGATAAAAAGTTTGAAAAAAAAAAGACGCTTCTCAGGGCCATCGTGAGTGTTTCTGTTCCTTCCAGTCTCATAAAATGGTGACCCTGTAGAGAAAAGCAGGACACAATCTGCTCAGTTATTTTTAGTATTATAAAAGTTTCTTTTCAAACATTGCTGTTCGTTGTTGGTTTCTGTGCCCAAAGAGTGCCTCTCTCAACTGAGTCACTCTCTTGTGGTAGTGAACTGTTGAGCTCAGGCTTAGTCTGGAGGCTTTCAGCATGTGTGAAGTGGCTGCTGGAACACATGGAAATCCTTGCCAACCCTTGGGTTTCGTACAATGAGGAATTTAAAATCAAATACAACAGAGAGTTTTGACCCAGACCCTTTGGTCTCACAACTATGAGATCACAAAAGTATATCCAAGTGAGTTTATATCTCCATAGACAGACAGACAGACAGATAGATGGATAGATGGTCTTTATTATGTGGATGCCAACTAGATTCAAGAGATTCCCACAGTTACCTCCCAAACATAAGCAAATAGAGTCTGGCACTAAGACCTTCTTCCTGGTTGGCAGCGTCCCCGCACAGGTTCTAGCTGAACCTCCACAGTTAAAGGTGCTCTTGAGAGTAAGGCCTGATTCTAGAAGGCTTCTTGATTCTCCCCAAATGAAAAACCTTCCGTGGCACCATTGTCCGGATCCATTTCAAAGCACTTCTCGATTCACAGGGATTAAGTAAGGCTTCCGGGAAGAGCCTTTAGGGACAGATCATTTTCTACCAGGAAAGGCAGCAGGCAGCACGGGACAATGTTAAGCTGGTGAGTGCCCAGAGTCACC